CCTCCCTCTTCCCTGTCCTCACTGGTAACCCTAGTTCCTTCTCTACATCTGTGAGTCTGTTTCTTTTCTGTTATATTCACTAGTTTGTTGTATGTGTTTAGATTCCACGTGTAAGTGGTATCTTACAGTATTTGTCTTTCTTTGTCTGACATTTCACTTAGCATAATGCCCTCCCAGTCCATCCATGCTGTGCCCCAGAAACTAATACAACATTTTAAATAGACTGTACTTCAATTAAAAAACAAACAACCAATCAACCCATTTAAAGTATTGGCAGAAGAACTGAACAGACATTTTCCAAAAATTTTTTAAAAATTAAAAATTTAAATTTTTATTATTATTTTTTCTACTGGGGATTGAACCCAGGACCTTGTGTATGCTAAGCATGTGCTCTACCACTGAGCTATAGCCACCTACCCTCCCAAGGGAATTCTTGAGACCCATTAACTAACAGCCCTTTCAGAGGCGGCACCTGGTCCGTGTCCCCAGGTCCTCGGTGTGAGGGGAGATTATGGCACTTGAGCTTGGGGAGCCCCCAGTCTGATAGCAGCCTGCTCGTCACAGTCCTTACGTATCTAAAGCTTCCCACGTGTGTTCTCATGACTGAGTGCTGACGGCCTGCCTAACTGAGGGGAAAACGGCACCAGATGGTTTGTAAAGAGTAAGATGGACACAGGAAGGGGTTTGGGAGCACTGACAAGGCAGGCATAGAACTTGGAAGCCCTTAGTGTTGTTTCCATTCAATGGGAAAAGTTCTCTCTTAGAGTCCCAGCCCAGGAGGGTCTCAGAGCCCCGGGCACCTCCTGGGCTGCTATGTGCCTCCTCTCTCCAGCCCTCCTAGGTCAGCAGTCCCTGGCTGTCACTTAGAGGTCTGGGAGGAGGACAGCTCTATGGTGGCTCCCAGCTGCTGGAATTCCTTCACCAGGAAGCTTCCCTGGGTTCACCTCACCCACTGGTTCCATCTCCCCCACTGCTTTTCCTTTTCAGGACCTTAAGGAACGACTGTACTGTTCCAGCCTGCTAATGACACATCCAGTAGCCTTGTCCCTTTTGCCAAGTTATAACTGTCCTTGAGACCAGGGTCCTCATTGGTTCTTTATTCTGCATCCTAAGATTTAAAGAGAGTCTATAACCCACTGGGGCCTTATCAGGACGTGTTGACTCTTGAGAAGAGCTTCTTTTGGGTGCTCCTGGAGCCCATCCTTGTAGTGGGAGGACCACAGCTGAGTTGTTCCGCGTTCCTGAAGAGGCCGTAGCTGCGTGCGGGGTGAGCAGTGCACCCAGGGACTGTGCTGGCCTGCTCGCACACTTCCTGTGTGGACAGACTCTTGGGTTTATCGATCGCTGTCACATATGTGTCTTGTTCATCCCTCGCAACAGTCCTTTGTGCTCAGGGAGGTGCTATCCCCATTCCCCAAAGGAAGACGTGGTTCACAGAGGCTAACACAGTTGCCCAAATTCCCATGGACAGGATTCAGACTCAGTTCCTTTGATTCTAAATCTGGTGTTCTTTCCAAGCACTACATACCTTTTCTTTTTGGATCAATATGGACAGAATGAAGGGACGACCTCCCCCTGCCTCAATCAGGTTCAGGGTCGTGCCCTGTGGGAGGTGAGGGACAGAGGATGCTCTCATGGGTGCTCCCAGCTCCTCAGGGACCATGCTATGTGCTGGTGGGTGGCAGGAGCTGGAAGGACTGTAGAGATCAACCAATCAGCTTCTATCATTTGTAGAGGTAGATGAAGAACCCAAAGCCCAGAGAGGCTAACCCACTTCCCAAGGCCACACAGCAGGGCCAGGTCTAGAACCCAGATCTCTGGTCTCCCAGCTCAGTATTCCTACTGCAGATTCAGGTTGTGGCTTTCTGCTTCTCCTGAGAAGAGTACTTCCAGGTGTTGGCAGTGAGACGAGGGAGTCAAAATGACAGTAAAAGTATTTCAGAGCTGAGCAGACAGGCTCAAGGAAGCTGCTGGGCCTGGGTGCTCTAGCCTCTGGGCCTGGAAGTAAACTGCTGATGTCATGAGGCTCTTTCATAGATGGGCAGCTGCTCCGTAGCCCGAGGGCTCAGGGCCTACCTCCTGAGCTCACACAGGAGCTTTGCAAGCAGGGAGG